CGCTGCAGGCAAGAAACATCTGCACAGCATATGTTTCAAGGGACCTGGCGTATATGGCATACTGTTCTTAATATGTTTGCTCCCCTTCTTAGCGCTATGTGTTTTAACCAACGTCACCTCTCCAAGAAAGGTTGTTTCCCCAGGTAGGGATTTTTCCCTGGAGTTAGGGAGGGAATAAAACCCCTTAACTAAGTGCCAGGCGGGTAGTTAATCACTTTAACTACGAACAATCACGCTTAAACTACATAATCTTTACTCCCTGAAATGGAGATAAGAAACGCCCTAACCTTTGGAATAGAAATTGATAGGATTAAAATCAACTGGTATAAATACAGATGTTACAAGACAATAAATCACAGAACCTGGCTGGAGATCCTGGCTAGAGAACCTGGCTAGGCTGCTGATCAACTGAACGCTGTCTCCGTGTCATTCCTTTTTCGCCAACTCCGTCCACACCTTTGGGAGCCCCTGGACCTGCTGGGGTTGGACCCCAACATATATCCACTTCATCAATCTCTCCTCCCTTCCCTACTTCAATCTGGCTTCTAGCTCCGCCGCTAGTGAAAGGACAGTCTTTCTGATCCACAGGTCTTTTCTGTCAGTAAGTAACCCTGACCTCTGTCTACTCATAGCCCTCATGGACCACACAATCTGTTTAAAGTTTTTTCTTTGGCTTCACTGATTTTACCCATAAATGGATCTCCTACTGGTCTAGTACTTTTCCCTTCCCCTCCCTTCTAACTACTAGATATGGATATGTCCCAGTGTTCCAGCCTTAGTCCATATTCTTCACTCCCTACCGCTGAGTCATGCCCACATCATCAACTAATACCACTGTGCTGATGAACACCAGTCTGTTTCTACAGTTGTGGCCCCTCCCTAGGACCTCAGCTGTATATTTCTAATTATTTGCTTAACATTTTCATGGGAAATATTGCCTCATTTTCAATAGGCTTCTAAAAATGAAGCTACCATTATGTCTCCCAACTCAGCTTTCTTCCCTGATTTCTCTATTCTGTTAATGGAGCTCCTCAAGGTACCTAACTTTTTAAACATTCAAATAATCTACAATCTATCCCACTTCCCAATCCCACACAGCCCATTAACAAGTTATTCTTTCACAGTGTGCTCACACTTCCTTTTCTTTCCTTCTACCACTACCCTAGGTCTAGCCCTGCCTTAGAACTGCCTATAGTCTGATTTCACCATCTTTGGCATCTTTTCCTTAAAATCTGGCCTGGAATAGCATGGGGAGCTAGAAGGCCAAGAAATATGGGGAGTTAGAGGCTGGTTGTCTTGCCTGGCTGGTGTGGCTCAGTGGTTGGGCATTGACCTATAAACCAGGAGGTCACGGTTCGATTCCTGGTCAAGGTATGAATTGCAGCTCAATCCCCAGTGGGGGATGTGCAGGAGGCAGCTGATCAGTGATTCTCTCTCATCACTGATGTTTCTGTCTCTCTCTCACCCTCTCCCTTCCTCTCTGCATAATAAAAAATATTTTTTTTTAAAAAGTGAATGTTACTTAGGTTTGCATTCCCAGGGTTTAGTACAGTGCCTGAAAAATAGTAGATGTCAATACATGAAGCACATCCCAAACCAAGAAAAAATAGAAAATGCTTTGTTTAAGCTGTGTAAATCAAGTCCTAAGCCTCAGCTGAGGACTATGTAACTGATCCTCACTTTGCACAGGCTGCTGGGATGTTGTTCCATGTCAATCTTGGGGCCCAATTCTGTTTTTGTGTCTGGGCTTTACAGCATGTGTTTGCTTCTCCTATCCTTATTCTCTCTTCCTCTAACTTCTTTACTTTTAGTCTTATTATACTGTATCTGTTGTTTGAAGCAGCCTCAAATTCTTTCTGCAACAAAACAGGGCTTAAATAAAAAAGTGTTATGCCTCATTATTATGTCTCTATTTACATTTTCTACGTTTTATTTACAGGGTGCTGTAATTAAAAAAAATACATACACAAAAAACTAGGGGGTTATGAATTAAAACCAAAATTGATTTGATTCCCAGCGTAGCCTGGAGAGTTTGCAATCAGAAAGAGCTATGTTCAATTCCTGCCTTCTGCCTCTTATTATTATGTGATCGTGGCCAAGACATTAAAAGCTCTTTTTAGCACTGAAAGAACACCTACAAGTTGAAAATGTCAATAAGAGAAACAAATGCTTGAAAGTAATCACAAAGGAGTACTACACTTCAGTGCTAGTAACAAAAAGCTCCAGAAGGATTTTTAGAAAAGCTGGGAATTCATCCTATTAGAACTCCTTCCGCATTCCTCAGCAGCATGGATTCCAAGAATGCAAGATGAAAAGAACACATGATGTCCTCACCCAGTCCTGGCACTGGGTCCCTCTATGGGTGATGGTGATGGTGAGATGTGATGCCACCTCACCTTGAAGATACACTTAGCAGGACTATCACTGCAGCCATATTAAGCGTAGGTACTGCTTTCTAACGGAATTTATCCATTAATTCATCACACTTTTGAGTGTTCTTTAGATGCCAGGTACTAGTTAAAAGCTGAGGTACACAGAGACATGAAACACCATCCCCACCTATAAGAGTCCATAATCTAGTGGAAGAAACAAGTTAACTCAAATAAACAAAACTAAACTCTTGGTCTCAAGTTATTGTTACAAATAAGCAAACAATAATAAACAGATGTCACTGTACTATAACTAGCCTTCCTTGTATAACATAATTATAATTCCAGGCTCTAATTGACTAAATAGGCATGCCAATGAGAAATCATAATCTAAAAATCTTTTCTCTAGATTTGGGGGGGTGTAAAAACAATGGGCAGATTTTTTGATTGGGACATTCTTTTCAAAATGTAGGCCTCCTGATTCTTGCTTACTGATGGAGCAGAGGTAAAACTTTATTTTTTACAAAATAGGTAGAGTGCAAGGTCTTAAGCAGTGATAAGCTATCAAAATTCACTTCTTTTAGTCCAGTTGGTGTGGCTCAGAGATTGAGCGTCGACCTATGAACCAGGAGGTGACACACCCATCAGAGCACAAGCCTGGGTTGCAGTCTCAATCCCCATTGTGGGTCTTGCAGGAAGGAGGCAGCTGATCAATGATTCTCTCTCATCACTGATGTTTCTCTCTCTCTTCCTCTCTGAAATCAATGAAAATACATTTAAAAATTTGTTTCTTTTAATAAAAGAAGAGGTTGCATTGAAACAGGACTTTAGCTCAGCCAATCCTGCCTGGGGAAAGTTGCCTGCTATAAAAGATAACATGGTACTTCCAGAAGACCAAAGTACAACGTATAAGAAAACGGTCACTTTCTTGCTTATAATGCTTTTATTTTCTTCCTTATAGCACTTTTGGTAACTACATATCAATACATAGAGGAGTCAACCCATTTTTCAAATCAGAATCAGTCTAACAAAATGTCAACGGACAAAAGTAAGAAAGTTATGTGCTATATTATTTCATATCAATGAACTCAAAATATAGGCCTATTACACAAGCAGGAAAAAGGCATGAAAACCACAAATGCTGACCTAAACTACAGTAGATATCACCACACTACTTTATGCAAAATACACTGTGGCTGGCCTTTTCTGTCCCTCTCTGACTTCTAAAATGTCTATGGAATTCTCCAGGTGGAAAGGTACAATCCAAACACGATCAGATAATCTGAGTGAGAACATTGAAGGCAGGTTATGTGGGTCGGATAAAATTCTATGAATCTAAACAAGTTTTCCATCACTCAAGGAGCTGGAGAGCTTTTAGAAGTACATCTTTTCTAAAAAAGCACAGTCAACAGTCTCTCTTTGGAACCCGCAACTAATAGATTGAATGGAGACATCCTTAGAAAGCTTGAATGGCCCACCCATCCTTCAATTATTAGAAGAGAAGGGTGGCAAGAATCAAAGGCAGGCAGGGCGATGACCCTGGAGAAAAAGAGCTGCTTCTAGAGTTGGCAGAGACTGTAAGCTGGGCGGAGAGAGGGGTCTGGTGTTGGGCACCCCAAGGGGTTTGAGAACGACTGGCAGTGAGGCGGAGGGAAGGATCCTGCGGGCCCACGGGGTGAAAATGAAGGTGCCTGGGAGGGGAGCGTGGGATCAGGCACTTAGATGAGAGTGTGGGCTGAGGACGGTGCACTGGGGACTGGAAGAACTCTGGGGCCCGAGAAGGGAGTTCTGGGCCGAGGAAACGGGGAGGCTACAGGGGTCCTTAACGCTGGGAACTAGGACTATGGGGGTGAGGGGGTTCGTGCCAAACTGAAACCTGAGCGCTGGGTGAGGAGCGCGGCGTGGATGTGGCACTAGGATGTGACCGGGAACTGGGGGGAGGCGGAGACACAAGTACGGGGTGAGGGAAGGGATGCCGACCTGGAGGTGGGGTTGGGAGGGGGGCGCAATAAGCTGAGGGGGGCTGAAGAAGAGGGCGTTGAGAAAGGAGTGGGAGCTAAGGAGGAGGTGCAGAAGAAGGGGCAAGAGCTGCGGGGTATCCCCCAGGGATGCGCGGAGCAGACGGGGGCGTGGGGCTGGGAAGGGGCCGCAGCGGGGTTCGGGGCGGAGGCGGGCGCCCGGCGCTGGGCGCGCGGTCCACTGTACCAGGCTGCGCAGATTGTCCTCCTGAGCCTGGACCGTGAGCGCGGCGGTGCCCGTCAGCGCCCGGCGAGTGAAGTCGACGCTGCAGCGCAGATGCAGATGCTTGGTCCGGCAGACGGACGCCGGAGTGGCCAAGGAGCACGTGTCCACCACCGCTGGCATGGCTCTGGGGAGTCCCGCAGCACCCCGATCAGCACCCCGACACTCACACGGCTGGACAGCTGGACTGCGAGCGAGAGGCGGCAGGAGGGAGGTTAAGAACTGGAGGAGGGATCCGCGGCGCCTGCCGGGAAAGGAAGTTTCTTACTGTCAGAGGAGCGGGGAGGACGGCGGGGAAGAAACTACAAGTTCGGTGATGCAGCGCGACAAGGCGGGCGCTTTGCACGCTGGGAGTGTGTGTTTAGCGGAGCGGAGGAAGTTCCAGATTGCGCCTGGGTCGGGGAAGAAGAGAAGGAGGTGGGAGAGCGGGAGCAGATGGAAAGAAGTGCAGCTTTCTTTTTAGTTCCGTTTAAGTTCGGTGGAAGCTGTAATGACCAAAAAAAAAAAAAAAAAGTAAAATTTATTATTGACTGCTGTGAATGGTGCGAGTCGGGCGGGGGTGAACCAGAATAAGTAGCATACCAGAAGGGTACGAGCCATGTGCAGTTCCTCGTTAGTATAGTGGTGAGTATCCCCGCCTGTCACGCGGGAGACCGGGGTTCGATTCCCCGACGGGGAGATGCAAAAGTGCCTTTTTTTTCGCCCACTTACGTATGCTTGAAAATGAAAATATTTGTACAAACGTTGTACAAGCCAGTGTGTAAGACATAACCCATTAAGATCTGTTTTGTTGCTGGTTTGCCAAAAAAGTGAGCTCATTTCTGTCAGTTCTTTGTGTGTGTGTGTGTGTGTGTGTGTGTGTGTTAGTATTTATTATGTACATTTCCAAGCCCCAGAGATCTAAAACAAAATGTTGATTCCCAGCCTAAAAGTTTAGGAAGATTATTTCAAGATGCTGTAATGAGAGAGTCCTGTCATATGAGTGTGCGCTGGCCACAAGGGGAATGCAGAGCTGGGACATGTAGCTCAGCTCCAGAAAAGGTGAGGACGGATTGAGGAATGGCTTGCCTTTAGGATGGGACCTCAGAGTTGAAACTGGAAAACTCGAAGAGTAGGGGTCTCAAAGGACTTTCAGCAGCTGGGCCTTTAATCCTGAATGTATGAATGGGGGCCCCTTGAAGAATTTTAAGCAGAGGAATGACATGGTCAGATTTATGTTATCAAGAGAACACTGGTAGTATTCAGACAGTGGATGTAAAAACCAAAGGCAGGAGCGTTAAGAAACTGTTAAAATAGTCCAGGGAGAACATGCTGGGGGCCTGACATAGGAAGGTAGTAAGGATAGAGAGGAAGGAAGGCTTGGAAGATATACTTAGATAAATGGATTCTCAGATTGAGGAGGAGCCTAAAGTGATTCTTAGGTTTTTGGCGCCAATGGCTGGGTGATCATTAATGAGAGAGTCTATACGAGGAGGACAAATTTAGGTAGGAAAGATCTAAGTTTAATATGAAGTTTGAGAATATAAGGGGATCAAAGTGGAGATGTTTATGAGCCACCTGGTGTGCCTATGAGTCCACAGCTCTGGGGATGTTTGGAGTAGACATGAAAACATCACATAATGTGGTAGCTGAATCATGACCAGGGGTAAGTTCAGTCCAGGGAGTGTGTAAAGAGTGGTGAAAAGAGGTTGGAAGCTGGGAGAACACCAGCATTTAATAAAACAGGGCTGGAAGTTTGGGGGAATACTTTCACAATCAAATCACCTTCAATTTTATTTGTCAAGTATACCTCGATAAAGCTGAAAATTTTTTAAAGGAGTGGGGACTAGAATAAGAGGAAGTCATGAAATAAACTAGGGAGGGCCAACCAACAATGTCATCATATACAGCCCAGAGAGCCATTGAAATAAAGGGTAAAGAGTCTCATTTGGATTTATCAAAGGGTTGGAGATGGGGAGAATGGCGATTTGGTTGACTTTCATGGTTTGGTTGAAGGTGTATGCGGGCAAGCAGTGGGTTGAGCAATAAAAGAGAAGAGGGGAAATAGAACATAGGCTGCTCTGCTAAGATGCTTGGCCAATGTGGGAAGGAAAAATAAAAGAGGAATAGAGGGGAATGTTGAGAAAGTGTTTTTTTAATTTTTTTTAGGGAGAGGAAACAACATGTTTGAATGTAGAAATTAAAGGGTTTCTAGAGAAAAGGAAAGATTTATAAAGTGTGGGAATAGTTGAGGAATTGAGCATTGGAGAGTGCTGATAGCTCCATTCTGTACAAAGTGGTCTAATAATCAAATTTGGCTCTAGCACCAGAAAAAGATGCTGTACATTTGGGTATAAGGAGTATAAGGAGGATACTCTTATACCTAAATGTTTAGACAAAAGAAAATAAAACAAAAACATTTCAAACTGTGAAATCCAATACCTTACATCTGTATACACCTCCATTTCATAGGGCCTAAAATCATGACATGATTGACCGTTGTAAACATTTTTTGAGGCCTAAAAGTGTTCTGGGTGTTACCAAATATAGGGTGACAAATATGATGCAATAGAATTGATACCACTGACTCCCAAATATAGTGCACAAAATTAGCAGTTCACAAACAACAGGAGTGTTATTCATATGCAATGGTGGATTGAGAATAGTTTTAAAAAACAAAGCTTCCCATTGCTTCTATAAAATGAGCATGATATCAGGGTGTATATATGAAAGGAGACTTTATCAAGCATCAAAAGATGACTTATATAAAGTTTTATGAAAGGAAATAGTACATACATTCAGAGGGCTATATGAACAGGAAGTATTCCAGCTCTACTGCTCAGCTGGAAAAGTTACTTAATCCTTCTGGGCCTCAGTCCCGTCAAGATAAATGCAATACCTCTGCCTCATGGGGTTGTTGAAACGATTAAATGAGATAATGTAGGGGAAGTGCTTAGCACTAAACTTGGCATAGAGTCAGCATTTGTCACTTGTTAGCTAGTAGTATTATTTTGGTTGGCTTTTATTTTGTTTATTTTGATCATTTTCATACTTATTTTTTCTTGTTCATTAGCAAGAGTTTTTAGGAAGATCTGGGAAATGAGAAGCAACCAAACATGGGAAATGAGGAGCAGATCGCACTGAATTAGGCCTCGAAGGAGCGTTTACAACATTAGCAATGATCATGTTTTTGAAATACATTAACATTTAGGAAATTCAGGAAGTTGCCGTTGGTGCATTAACACTTTCCTTAAAAGGATACACAGACTTTTCATTTTCCCCTTACTTCACACAGACCTTTCCTTTCTTTAAGTAGTCAATGCAATTTTCAGATACTAAGGGCATTCTAGGACACTGCAGCTACCTAGCATAGAGTTGGGGAAGGCTCTGTCCTACCTGTTGGATAATTTACTCCCTAGCACACAGCTATACAAAGACCTAAGATAGCATGATGTTAAGATGAAGGCCAAGGCCCAAGGAGAACTATAAATGAAGTTTTAGAGAGACAAGGTCTATCCTCTAGGCCCATGGTCGGCAAACTGTGGCTCACGAGCCACATGTGACTCTTTGCCCCCTTGAGTGTGGTTTTTCCTAAGCCTTAGGAGTACCCTAATTAAGTTAATAACAATGTACCTACCTATATAGTTTAGGTTTAAAAAATTTGGCTCTCAAAAGAAATTTCAATCGTTGTACTGTTGATATTTCGCTCTATTGACTAATGAGTTTGCCAATCACTGCTCTAGGCCCTAGAGTTAGGGAATGTCAAGAATAACAATATAGCATTTGAAATGGGGCTTGAAGAATGAGCGGGATTTTAATAGGAAAAAATGGTAGGGGCTATGAATTGAACATGGAAATGTGAGGTGGGCAGCTTTCCAGGTAGACATAGTCACAGGAATCCAGGCATGACACCAGAAACAGAGATGTGTTTGGGAAAGAATAATTTTGGGGGTACAGAACCCTATAAATTAATCCAATGCTTCACATACTCCTTAATAATCTGTCGTCTTCTTTCCTCTCCAGGTTATATATCTGGTGTGGCAAAGACCATTAGCTGTTCCACAACATCTGTATTTCTTTATCCTTAGTAGTAAAACTCTCCATGTTTAGCAGGACACATGGCCTCCCAGAAGACTACATTTCCCAGCCTTTTTGCAGTTCTGGCCAAGGTAAGAGGAATTGTTAATTATGACTTGTAGGAAGGGTCCTTAACAGGGACTTTTTACATATATTGATTGATTTCAGAGAGGAAGGGAGAGGGTGAGAAAGATAGAAACATCAATGATAAGAGAATCATTGATCAGCTGCCTCCTGCACACTCCCTTCTGGGGAACAAGCCTGCAACCTGGGCATGTGCCCTGACCTGAATTGACCCGTGACCTCCTGGTTCATAGGTCGATGCACAACCACTGAGCCAAGCAGGACTTTTTATTAACCTTTCCTCTCTTCTGTTATCTGGAATGCAGAGGTAATGGCTAGAGCTCTAACTGCCATGCTGTGTCATGAGGTTGGAACCATGTGCTGAGGGCAGTGGAGCAGCAACATAGGATCTGTGAGCTGGAAGTAGCCCGGGCTCTGGTGATCATGCAACTCCCCTGTGGACTGCCTACCCTGGGTTTCTTTTCCTTGAGACAGAAATAAACTTCCGCTTTAAGACAGTGTTATTGTGGGGTTTCTCATTCACAGAGAACTCAGTCTTTACTAAGACACCTGGTCTCAGTTGGATGGTTCTGTCAGTTTGGACCCAGGTACTTACCCTTGTCTAGTGATTTGGCACCACTTTATTGTGGACTATTATATAAGTTTGAAAAAATGTTATTTACCAGCTAAGTAAATGTTATTTACTTCTCTGTATCTTGTGTTTTCTGCTAGAGCATTCTTTCTAGTTTAATCAGACCTCTATTCTCCCTAAAATCCTTCAAGGTCTCACCAATATCTTCAGTAGATATTCTCCATTTTTATTGAAAGATGTGATGGCCTGGGGGTGGTTTAGCCAAGAACCTGTACAACCTGGGCAAGAAGATAAATTGTGAAGAGGTGGAGTCAACATATCGGAGCTCCGGGGGGGCCAGAAGATGATGAAAATCAGGGTGCACGTCTGAAAAGATAAGGAGCAGTAGGGGCAGAGTGTTTGACAGAATAAGATTATGGATGACTTTCTATTGTGTAAAAGGAGGAGGAGACTATATATGAAATTTGCTCATATCTATGTAAAGTATTTCTGGATTCTCAAGAAAATCCTGGCATGGTTTACCTTTGGGAGGAAAAGTGAGACAAGCTAGTAAGGCTGACAAGTGGGATAGGGAAACTGAGGCAGACAGTTAAACAAGCAGTTTGCAGCCATCTAATAACTGTAGATGCCAAGCAGTTTGCAACCATCTAGTAAATCCTATCTTCCCTAAACCAAGGACACCTAAGAGTAAAAAGTTTGCACTTCTCCTTCCCAACCGGAGAGTAAACAGCTTAAATCACCCTACTTAGGGAGACAGAGAGCAGAAATCCAACTAATGCCATTTGCCAGCCACACCCAGGGACAGATGAAGTTAAGGGGATAAATCTCATTTTGGCACATCAGCATAAAACTGATGAATATTCTATTGAGATCCTCCCCTAGGACCTCCCCTAAACTCCCAGCCTTTAAAACACCTCAAAATGAAGGTCCCAGCACCTGTCCTCCCTCCCAGGAGCATGCTTGCACCTGTCCGACAGGCAAGCATTTCCTAAACTCTAAGGGACCCCATGAGTCTTGCAACCAAGGCAGCAATGGGCAGCGGTCGTTCGCCTGGTTAACCCCTGGACCTGTCCCCAAGGCCCCCTTTTCTCTGCCTTCGCAGTGAGCCAAAGCAGACCAGCCTAGGCTCATTTCCCCAGCCCTTCCTTGTTTCACTGTCCCCAGCTTTAATTAACATCCTCTAAAATTCACCTGGACTCCTGTTGGGACATCTTTCCTGTACGAAGTCAAGAACCCACACACCACTGGCCGGCCCTAGGCAGACCCACCCAGGGCCAGGCCCCCTTTCTGGTAACAAACGTAGGGTGGCTAAGAAACAGAAGTGTGAATAGATGTTTCAACTGAGTAACCTGTTACAGCCTTTGGAATCTTGATGTATGTGACTATATATTACCTATTCAAAAAATTTGATTGATCAATATTTTTAAAAATAAAGGTCACTAGAACACAAATCTGCAAGTAAAAACAGAAACAGCCTCCTGGGACTCCCCATGGAGCTCTCTAGCAGGAGATCCTTCTAGCCCTGCAGTCTCGCCTCCACAGGCCATGCTGGATGAAACTTGTCCAAGGAAGTGCAACTTGTCTGCCTCCTGCTGGTCTTCCTTAGGTTGGAAGCCTCTACTTACCCCCACCTCCTCCCCACACTTGGCTCCTTAGCAGGGCTCTCCTCCCCCTGACAACTCTGCCTCCCTTCCCTGCACTCTGGGCTAGAGTCTATAGAACCTCTTTCCCTAATGGAACAGGGTGTCTAAGACGCCGTTCATGTCTTCCTCCCAATGAGCGAGAAATGATTCCGGCCACCTTCTTTTTCAGGTAGCTCACAAAAATGGCTGAGGCAACCCTGACCTATTTCTGCATTTTTCTCTTAAGTCTGTTTTTGCTTGTGTAAGAATTGTATGTTTATATTTACATCTTTAGTCTATTCTTCATGTCAAGAAAAGGTTTGGGCAGCTGGGCAGGCCAGAAATGCAAGGAGCACAAGTCAGAGTTCTTCCAAGGTTGTAAAATAGCATCAGTGACCTCCCGCCCCGCCTGCCCCCACTCCTTCCACTTCCTGTCTCTCTCGCTCCCACATGGTTGACAGCAGGCAGGGTCTGGTGGAGAGCCTCGCCAGGCCCTGCATCTCCTTCCACACAGGTCTGTCTTCCGTTTCTCTGTTTATACCCTTGGGAGGGACTAGCCTGAACAAGATCGATTGTCAAGCTGTGCTGGGTAGGATCCAGCCCAAGAAATCACTGCTGGTCACGTGGCCTTCTCTCTTAGCCGCAGAGTGTGGTTAAGAGACCAGCCGCTTCAGTGTCTCCTAAAAGCCTCATCAGAAATGCAGATCTCATGCCCACCCCGAAACTGGACCGGAACACAGATCCCCAGGTGATCTGTGTGCTCAAAGGATACTTAAGGGGTTGGAGGCGATGCAGGGCAAGAGTTAATCAAACATGTCAGGCAACCTCTGCCAGAGTCCACAGCTCTAGACCCTCAGATCACTTCTCCCTTAACGCCCCAATGTCGTCCCCAACACAGCACCTACCACACTGCGTAAAGGTCAGCTTCCTGGTCAGTCTCCCCTACCAGGAGGAGTGTTCTTAATTCCCAGACGGTAGGTTTGTTGTCCCTCTCGGAGCATGTTGTTCGAATGAACAAATGTGTAAATGAATGAATGAGATTTTATTTGAGGTTCCAGGCATCCTTTTATTCAGTGCTTTACTCTGTGTTGACTTTGGGGCGAAGAGAAAGCTACCTCCAAAGCCCTTCCTTGTCCTCCAGTGTCACCAGACAACATGTTTGCTTGTGACAGAGAATGCCCTACCGCCTTCTTGATAATGGTAAACAATTTCAAAACATTTTAAAATATGTTAGGTCTGTTATTATTGATTTCAGAGAGGAAGGGAGAGGGAGAGAGAGAGAGAGACATCAATGATGAGAGAGAATCATCGATCAGCTGCCTCCTGCACACCCCCTACTGGGGATTGAGCCTGTAACCTGGGCATGTGCCCTGACCTGAATTGAACCGTGACCTCCTTGTTCATGGGCTGATGCTCAACCACTGAGCCACACTGGTCAAGCTCAAAATATTTTTATTGAAGAATTCTATCTAGAATATGAAATGCACGTATCAGAAGGGTATAACTCGCTGAACTGTAAACATTAAACCCAGTGCAATTGTAACGGAGCGCAATGCTCTGTCTCTGACTCCATCTTGTTCAAGCCTGTTGTTCCCACGGCCTTGAGGCTAGTAATTCCTGCCTTGTTTGGCATATAGACATGCTAATCATCAGAGGAATTCTGCTTGAGCTCCAGTTTCCCAAAATCTGCTCTTCCCACTTCCCCTTAACTTGCCTTAAAAGAAACCTGAACTCTATACCTTTGGAAGATGGATTTGAGGAGCTTACTACACCTCCCATCTTCTTGGTTGGCACCTTCTCGATCTATGAACCATCCCTTACTCCAGACTCCAATGTTTTGAGTTTTGACGCTTTGGGCACACAGACTTTGGACCAGTAACACAACCAGCACCCAGATTAGATACAGAGCATTACCACCACCCCAGTAGGGCCTCCTCAAAACCCTCCCAGTCTCTAGATATCTCATTCCCCAGGGGTAACCACATCCTGACTTCCAATAACATATTCTATCTATTTTGCCATTTATATATTCTTTCCACAAATGGAAGCATACAGTAGGCACTCTCATGCCTGACTTCTTTGGCTCACTGTTTGTGAGATTCCTCCATATTATTATGTGCAGTTCCAGGTTGTACAGTCTCATTGCTGACTAGTGTCAGATGTGTGGATATACCACACTTTACTTATCCAGTCTATTATGGGTAGACATGGGGGTAACTTTTAGTTCTGGGTTATTGCGAATGGCGCTGCTATGGGCGTTCTGGAACACATTGTAGAACACGTGCTGCTTTGAAGTTTGGACAGCTTAAGCCATGTCAAACCCATTGTTTTGGGACTGTTGCACCAAGCCAAAATTCTTGGATTGCAGCAACCCAGGTTCTGTAGTCACGGACATAAACCCAGCAACCCCCCAGCTTGAGTTGGGGAAAGGTGAATCAGGCAAGGAGGGGAGCTGTTTTCATGTTACCAGAAAACATTTTTTCACAAATGCTGGTCTAGATCATACTTAATCTTCCTTTTAGTAACTTCTTTTTCTTTTCTAGGTGTGCCTGATTGCAAGATTCAGCCATACAGGTTGTTTTATTCTGACTCAGAGATTCCAGCTCTACTCATATTTTTCCTGGTAAGTATTTTGCCAGAGCAGGTACTTCCACCTTTTGTTCTGATTGTCTAAAGCATGAGTGGGATTTGACAAGTGTCCGCAGGATTTCATTCTCAACAGCAATATTGCTGTCTCGTGTTGATTGGCTTTGAGTCCAATTTTTCTGGTTTGGCCAGCAGAGCACATTATTGCTACTTGCCTGTAAAATATGTTTTCAGCAAAGACCACACTAAAAGGCTTTCCTTCTAAATGTAGTTCTCATCTACAAATCCATGTTTGAGGAACTATCTACTATTTTGTCATTTCTTATAAAAGGCCTCTTACTTGGGGTTTGGAGGTGAACAAACTCGTATAAGAGATTCATAGAGTTGATTCTCTCTTCCCTTCTTCTGCAGTTGGTATCTCAGCATTTCTCAAGCGGAGTCACACACTTCCAGGTACCCACTCACCTGGCTTCTGCCTTCCTCCAAGCTGCTTCCTTTGGGCTCCCTGTGTAGCCCCTTCTTCAGCCAGCCTCTACTTCCTCTCTCACGGACACACTGGGAGGCCCTCCCCACTCACTGCTCTCACCTCTGTTCCCTGACCCATTCTCCAGACAAAGTTTCCCAATGTATATTCCTCCTCTTTGGTCCTTAATTTTTCTTAATAGTAACTTTATACACACACACACACACACACACACACAGTCAACCCTCATTACTTGCAGATTTCATACTTGAGACTTTTCCTTCTTGCTAAAAACTTACTTGTTACCCCCAAATCAATACTCACAGCTCTTGGTGGTCACTTGTGGACATAGGCAGAGCTGTGAAAAATTTGACTTGCCTGAGGCTCATAGTCCCAGCTGCTCAGTTCTCTTGTTTCTGCTTCTTATAATGTAAACTAGATGCCCGGTGCTTAAAATTCGTGCACAGGATGGGGATGTCCTTCAGCCCAGCCTTCACCCTCTCCAATTTGGGACATCCCTCTCACAATCCAGGACTGCTGGTTCCCAGCCACTCCCCTGCCAGCCTGATCGATGCCTAACTGCTCCCCTGCTGGCCCAATGCCCCCACCTGCCCTTTCCTACTGGCCCCGTCACCCCCAACTGCCCTCCCTGCTGGCCTGATCACCCACAATTGCCCCCCTTGTGGGCAGCCATCTTTGACCACATGTGGGTGGCCATCTTGTGCAAGGGTGTGATGGTCAATTTGCATATTATCTCTTTATTATATAGGATGTGTCTTTTTTGTGGTCTATATAGTATCTTTGTCTTTCACATTTTTGTGCTTTTTTGTTGGTGATTTTGCTGTTTAAAATGTCCTTCAAACAAATGCTGACGTGCTGTCTGGTGTTCCTAAGCACAAGAAGGCTGTGGTGCGCCTTGTGGAGAAATTATGTGTGTTGGATAAGTTTCGTTCAGGCATGAGTCACAGTGCTGTTGTCTGTGTCTTTAACTTTAATAAGTCAACAATATGCTGAATAATGTGCCTGTAGACAGAAACACACATAAAACAAGGTTATGCATTGGCTGGTTGATGAAATACTGAGGTTTTCGGGCCCCTACCATATTTTTCCTGGGAGCAGTAGTTCCGGATTTGCTCATTCAGTGTTCACAATGACTTTATAGGACACAATCACTGCACATCAGTGTTTTCTGCCCACACCCCAGTGATTGCTGTGTGCACGCGTCCATCCCTCTCTGGAAACCCCTCCTAAATGAAAGTGCCAGGTTTGGATGGATAACTGAAGAGGAAAGTACTTCCAATGAAGTTGATGGCTAAGAGCAAAGTCAGATACCAAAGGCAAATTTGGAAAAAATAATTTACACTCCTTGAATCCTCAGATGTATTTCCAAAAAATGACCCCATCACGTTTTATACAAGGTGTTTGTGTGCATAGGGGCTGTCTTCACCCGGGCCTGGTCATCAGGGCAGGACTCGATGAGGTCCCCTGTTCCCTAGAAGTGGAGGAACTAGCAGCCACTGAAAGCTCTCTTTCCATCTTTACAGTAGCATCGCTGAGCCGTGAACATGACACACCACCATGCCTGACACACCAGCCCTGAGACAGGAGGAAGGAGGATACCAATCTGTGACTACCAGGAAGTGGGGATCACTGGGGGCCTTCTTGGGAACTAGTTACTCCATGAGGTAGGCATCATTGTCATCCCCATTATGTAGAGGAGGACACCAAGGCTCCGAATAATTAGCTCAAGTCACTCAGTTTGGAAGAGGCAGAGCTGTTGGTCAGACCCAGGCCGTGTGGCCTCAGAGCACATCCTTTTGGGGCAATGCCCTTACCCTGACCTCCCCACAGGTCTTTTTTCTTTTTTTATAACTTCCTTTCTTTCCCCTCCTGCACAAAACATTGCGAATAATATATATTTCCTTTTGCTTAGATCATTTCGAAAATCATTGTTTCTTAAGGGTGGAGATTGGAGAGTTTCCAAAGAATGAAATATAATGAGAACATCTGTCCAAAGCCCCCAAATGTATACACATTAACTAATTAATTAATTAACAAAATGTAACTCGCAGACTATGAATAACAAGACCACTGACCCAATTTCAGAGCCCAACCTTTACAAAATGAACACAAGGCAGAGTATACATTCTATCAAATACCTTTCTTTTGTGGTTGTTTGGGTTAGGTTGTTGGCTGAGCGGGCTAAATTAAGCAACATTTTGCAAAAGTGAGCCTGTAAGATTAGGCCTTAGGAAACAAAAGCCGGAAAGAGAAGCTACATTTCCCATAAAATGTGCAACTGTAGGATAACAGCTTATGACAGTGTGACTGGCTAGAGGGCAATTTATATATAAGAAGGAAGGGGGTTCCATACTACATATAATGCCACCTCTATAAATGATCATGTGAAAGGTAAAGTTTTGTTGTCCTTTTGTTGTGATTTAAAAAAATCAAATTAGCACCCTACCTGGTTTGGCTCAGTGGATAGAGCATCAGCCCATGGACCAAAGGGTCCCGGGTTTGATTTCGGTCAAGGGCATGTACCTCAGTTGCAAGCTCCTCCCTGGCATGGGCCCTGGTCAGGGCACGGGCAGGAGGCAATCAATCGATGTGTTTCTCTCACATTGATATTTCTCTCTGTCTCTCCCTCTCTCTTCCACTCTCTGTAAAAATTCAATGGAAAAATATCCTCAGGTGAAGATTAACAAAAAATAATAATAATAAATGAAAGTCAAATTAGTACTACATTGCACGAATTAATTGTCAGCCTTTTTATTTTTATTTTATATATATATATATATTTTAATATATTTTTTATTGATTAAGATATTACATATGTGTCCTTATCCCCACGTTACCTTCTACCCCCCCCTCCCCCCCCGCTCATGCCCTCACCCCCCCATTGTCCGTGTCCATTGGTTAGGACTATATGCTTGCATATAAGTCCTTTGGTTGATCTTTCCCCCTTACCCCCACCCTCCCCTACTTTCCCTCCAAGGCCCGACAGTCCAATCAATGCCTCTCGGTCTCTGGATCAGTCCTTGTTCATCAGTTTATGTTGTTCATTATATCCCACAAATGAGTGAGATCATGTGGTATTTATCCGCTCTCCAGCTCCATCCATGCTGTGACAAATGGTAAGAGTTCCTTTTTCTTCTTCCTCTTCTTAAAGAATACCTTTCAGCATTTCATATAATGCTGGTTTGGTGGTGATGAACTCCTTTAGCGTTTTCTTATCTGTGAAGCTCTTTATCTGACCTTCTATTCTGAATGATAGCTTTGCTGGATAAAGTAATCTTGGTTGCAGGTTCATGCTATTCATCACTTTGAATATTTCTTGCCAGTCTCTTCTGGCCTGCATGGTTTCTGTTGAGAAATCAGCTGACAGTCGTATGGGTACTCCCTTGTAGGTAACTGATTTTCTTTCTCTTGCTGCTTTTAAGATTCTCTCTTTGTCTTTTGCTCTTGGCATTTTAATTATGATGTGTCTTGGTGTGGTCCTCTTTGGATTCCTTTTGTTTGGGGTTCTCTGCGCTTCCTGGACTTGTAAGTCTATTTCTTTGACCAGGTAGGGGAAGTTTTCTGTCATTATTTCTTCAAATAGGTTTTCAATATCTTGCCCTCTCTTCTTCTGGTACCCCTATAATTCTGATGTTGGTATGCTTGAAGTTGTCCCAGAGGCTCCTTACACTATCTTCATATTTTTGGAATCTTTTTTCTTTTTTCTTTTTCGGTTGGGTCTTTTTTGTTTCTTTGTATTTCAAATCTTTGACTTGATTCTTGGGATCCTCTTGTCTGCTGTTGGATCTCTGTATATTATTCTTTATTTCAGTCAGTGTATGCTTAATTTCTAGTTGGTCCTTTTTCATATCCTCGAGAATCTCACTAGATTTATCAAGGGTCTCACTAAATTTATCGGCGGTTTCCATAAAATTCTTGAAAAACCTTATAAACGTGGCCTTGAACTCTATATCCAGTCGTTTGCTTTCCTCCATTTCTGTCATTTGTGACCTGTTTCTTTGTCTTCGCATTTTTTATGCTTCCCTGTGTTGGTAGAGTGGTTTTGTGTGCTAGGTGTCCTGTAGGGCCCAGTGGCTCAGCCTCTCCAGTTACCTGAGGTGGACACTCTTGGTGCACCCCCTTGTGGGCTTTGTGCACAGTCTTATTGTAGTTATGCCTTGATTGTTGTAGGATCACTGGGAGGAATTGACCTCCAGGCCAGTTGGCAGTGAGAGTCAGCTGTGTCTGCAGTGGGAGAACTTCTGTGCTGAAGACACCCTTCTGGGGCAAGACTTGCTTCAGTGGGGTTTTGGTGCTCAGTGAGTCTGCCCCCTGAGTGTGTCCCTTATGGATCTGAGGACTTGTAATCTGGATGGTCCCCCTCTGACCACTGGGTACACTGGCTCTTGGATTTAAGGAGGTGCTAATTTAGCCTCTGCCTGAGGTTACACAGCAGGATCTACGAAGAGAACTGCAGATTCCCCTTCCTTTTTCAGAGTTTGGAGGTGCCCTGATGAGGCCCAGCTGTGAAGCAATGCAAGCCGCTGTGGGGCCTTGGGCCTTCTCTTGGAAGTTCTGGGTCTGTCTGGCCCAGCTGCAGTTAGGTAATTTTCAGGTTGCAAAGGGCCGGGGCATTCATATGCAAAAGCCTCTGCCGCAGCCTGGGTGGGGCGGGGTCTCAGGGAATCAAAGGGCGGAGCAAGCAGCTATGGCTGATCGGCAGCCCTGCCCTAAGGGGCTGCGCGTCTCAGTGTTCCGGTAATTGCTGCAAGCACCTCTGAGGGAAAGCCGCCCTGGAGTTCCGAGTTTTGCCTGCTGCCAGACAGTCCAGTTTCTCCCCGTATGAGTCCTGGGTCCCCAGAGACTTCCCGGAACTGGAGTTCAGAGCAGTCGGGAGCTTGTGACTCCCTCCCGATTAAAAAAGACAGCCACGTCCTCAGGTGCCAGCCCCTTATTGTGCGCACGAGCCTCCGTACCTCTGCACTTTACTTCCGCAGCTCCTCTGGCTCTCAGTGTGCTTTTCTTTCCTTCTAGTTGTAGAATTTCCACTCAGCCAGCCTTCCTGTAGTTCTGGATGATGTCCGTTTTGTCTTTATGTTGTTTTTTTGAAGTTGTTGTGGGAGGCAGCAATTTCCCGGTGTTTATCTATGCCGCCATCTTAGTTTTCTCCAATTGTCAGCCTTTTTAAAAAAAGATGTATATTTATTGATTTTAGAGAGGAAGGGAGAGGGAGAGAGAGAGAAACATCAATGATGAGAGAGAATCATTGATTGGCTGCCTCCTGCACACCCCACATTGGGGATCGAGCCTGCAACCTGGGCACATGCCCTGATAGGGAATCAGACTGTGACCTCCTGGTTCATAGGTCGATGCTCAACCACTAAGCCACACTGTCTGGGCTGTAAGCCATTATTTTAAACTAGGTTAAAGCAAACATTGATCAATAAAGACATTTTACTTTCTTTAATAACTAGAGGCCCGGTGCACAAAATTTGCAGGGTCCCTAGGCCTGGCCAGAGATCAGGGCCGATCTGTGGGGCGACTGGCAAGGTGATTGGAGGCGGGGGGCACTGGCACCTGCCTTGGCTGGCCTGGGGCCTGTGGGCAGGGGGCAGCTCCTGCATTGAGCATCTGCCCCCTGGTGGTCAGTGTGTGTCATAGCGACCAGTTGTTTGGCCAGTCGTTCTGCCGTTCAGTCAATTTGCATATTAGGCTTTTATTATATAGGATTTTTTTTAGCACTTTCTTGGTTTAGGCCCTATTTTAAGTGCTCCAGACATATTAACACCTTTCAATTAATCCAGATAACAACCCTATGATGTAGGTTCTATTGCTTTTCCCATTTTGCAGATGGGAAAACTGAGGCACGAACTCTACCTTGGTTTACACTAGCATCACTGAGCCATGATGCTAGTATAACCAAGTTAGTTAAGTTGCTAAGTCACCTAAAGTTAAGTAACCAGCCAAGATTATACAGCTAGTCAGTTTCAGAATTGGGATCAATATCAGGCAGTATGGCCCCAGAGCCTGGCTTTTCATCAAGCTTTTGCCTGGTACAAAAAGTATGGATATATAGTTCATTCTCTTCTGTCTTACCCCTTCCCCATCTGCCCTGCAAACTCCTGCTCTTTTTTCAAGAGTCAACTCAGGCTTACCCTCCTCTATGGAACCTTCCATGACTTGCATACAGAATTGGGTACCCGTTTCTCCATGTTCTCAACATGTCTTGCTCATACTATTGAGGCATTTGCTGTCTTTTGTCTACTTAGCTTCTAGTTTCTCTTTTCATGGGATACACCTCATGTAGCCCAAGTCTGGCCAATCAGAGCACCAAGGAGCCCAGTTCAGAGACAATCCTGTGATCCAGGTCTGTCTAATCAGTGAATCCTGGAACATGACAGGAACTTCTGGAGAGAAACATACACATTTCCATTGGAAGCTTGAAGCTGCCAGCAGCCTTCTTACCTTCATGTGGTACCTGAGAATGAAGCCAAAATGAAGAAAGCCAGAAAGCAATGAGAGGTAGGGAATGTCACTGCTGATGTCAATTGTTTGAGCTTCTGGATCACGCCCCCCTAAATTTAGAAGAGACTCTTCAACTTCATGACTAACAAACTCCCCTTTTCAGCTTACACCAGTTGGAGTTTTCTATTATTTGCAACTGAAAGAATATTAACCAACAGAT